TTCATTAGAAGGCGAGTTAATGGACAAGTCGATGTGTTCAAAGGCATCGTAAACTGATATCTCATGTCGACGAACATGGAACCCTTTCTTAGGCATACAAGAACCCCTCCTCGAGCCCTGTTCATGCGAGGGATGTGATGAAACTGACAGTTAGGCAGGGTGTCCTTAAGATCAGCCAGAGTATGGTTATCACGATGGTCACCACTCAACCAAGTTTCTGTAATAGCGCAAATTGTCAATGCTGTTCTGTGCGATCATATCGTGAATCATAGCTGTCTTACGTTTTACTGACCGGGCATTCCAAAGAGAAAAATTACAGTCTGATGAGAGCTTGGTGTTAGCTGAAATATGCACAAGGTTGGTAGGATTGGAACCATGTTGTCCCGAGGGCTGTATACTCTTTTGTTTAGTACATGCCAATGCTAAGACAGGAATTATTCTTTTCTGTTGCTTGGCCCATGATCTACGGCCCCGTCGTGTGGGTTTTACAGCACAGATACCCAGTTCTTTCAGTCTGTGGTAGACAGCTAGTGGTAACCTAGCTTTGTGGCTGCGAATGGTCATGAGATCATTGCTATTGTACATCAGTGGAGTCATCAGTGTGAAGAGCAGCAGCACCATTAAGGTGCATACTCTGGAACCGGCCATCCGTAAAAAGACAATAGACGTATGTGTGCAGGCCCCAATGGGGAATATGGTGCTTGATGGTCCCAAGGGGGTTTGAAAACCACCAAAACAAAATGTAAGATATCACCAGAGTTCTTGATAAAAATCCTCCAGGCTGGTCTTGTAGAGTCTATGTCAGTAGAGCAGACCTAGGCAAAGTTTCTGGAGCACAAGCAGCCGAACAAATGATAGAAAATAATGAACAATGTGGAGCAAAACATGAGTGCAACCTACTGGCGCAACATCACATACATCGCATTGTGACTCAGGCTGAAAGATCACAAAATCACGTGTCATATTGTACTGGTCCACCATGTTGGCTTCATGAATTAAGTTCGACGTTTGAAACCACTGCAGTGTTTACGCTGTGCTTACATCGCGCTCACACAGCATAGGTACGACGCTTGAAACAGGCCTCACCGGTTGTGTGTTTTAAAAAGATTTTTAGCTACCGGCTTTGTTGACGCATTCATTTTAGAATTTACCGTACAAAAGCCATCCAAAATTTAACGTTTACCATACATTTTTGCACGAATATGGATGCGCCTAGCAGGCGCTATTACGAGTTATTAAATTGGGCTTGGACTGCTCCTGTTTTGATGCAGCCAATGACGTACGTACACTTCCGCAAACATTGCTTTGTCGGTTATAGCTTGGAAACCATTCTGAATGTAATTCAATTTGACCCGTTTCATACCACCATGATCTCTTTGCAAATGCCGTTATCTTGTTTCTAATTTTCAGAGCAACACCTTCTGAACGGAGAAACTTTAAGTTGACAAGATATGCACACGTTGAGGAAACAATTAACAGCAAAGTAATTGAACAAAAGTCATATGCATGTATAAAATGGTACAATCACATAGGAATGTACCTCCTAAAAATATTGCACATGTGAGCATTTTTAAAATTAATCTCATTTTTTCAGTCATCAGCCGCTCCGGTGTCCCTCCAAGACAAAACTGGCGTTTCAGGAGCTCAAGAAACGACTACAAAGGGTAATAGTCAATTCAATCATCTATTTCAAGTTTCCAGCTTCGATGTGGGTCCGCATGTGTCTGCGTGCATGTTTGTTTTCTAAATGAATTTTGACACTCGTAAATTGCAAATTGTTTTGTACCGTGTATTGTGAAGGTAGTTTCATGAATGTTAGGTTTCAGCTCTGGTGTTCGATAGACATGCAATTTCTTGGAACGAGTGTGACGTAACTGTGGTATACAAGGAAGGTTTTGTCATTAAAATTTAATAATGTAAGGCAATAACTTTATATAACAAAGCACTTTTTCATTTTTAGAAATGTAATCTGTGTTTTTGTTTTCTCGAAGGAAAGTGAGAGTCTAACGAGAAGAGTGGATGCCATTTTGGGGTTCCGGATTGCCGAGTGTCCCGGTGGTAATGTGGAGTGTTGGGTGGTTGACTTACGTCAAGGCATGGGTGTAGTTAGAAGAACGAGCAGTGGCAAGTACCCTCAGTGAATCCGTTGAGTGACAATAGTTGACCTAATTTAACGATTTAATACATAGATCCCGCCCTTGTACACTTTATATCGGACCAATACACCATTTGACCTTAGGGGTTCTGATTTTGATATTATTGCTGTGCTTTAAAAGCCTCTTTTAAGAGTAGTTACGCCCTCAGTGTCTACCTCAAAATGGGGAAATGTCTGGTAAACCTTGTCAGCTGTGGATGAACGAAATTCCCTCCAACACGAGTTGAAATACCACGTAATCAGTTAAAACCAGTGTATGAATACCAATGAGTTGTCTGATGATCTGTATGGTATTTTTTGGGCCAGAGTTCGGCAGATTTGTTTGCAAACTAAAGTTTTGAAATGTTTGTTATCATCTTGATCGATCTGTCATGTCATCAGTACATGGGGATGGAACGAGGGACAGCGATGGCTTGTGGAAAGCACACATAATTTTATCAAGGCTATAAACAGGCTCATTTGTCAATTCTAAAGATCCCAGGAAGATTTAATGGATTTGGATAATTTATTTTGTCGCTTTGGGATAAAATGCATTATTCACCACAACGCACGTTGTTTAGTCGTTGAAACAGTCCTGGTCATCTGGCTTATACCGTGTCTCACCCGTCACTGTCTTGCTCTAGCTGGCTTAATGGGATCAGCAAAGTGGCTGCGTGGCCTGGCATCAATCAGCAGAGGCCTCACAGGGTTCAGAGAATGTGGTACTTCTTCCGGGCCCAGACACCTAAACTGTCTCGAGGGGAATAATTGGTGAAGCCAGAAGGCCTCAAGGAAATAGCGGTTGAACCACAGCAAGTTTGGCACTAAAATGGGCCACTTCGGCTTAGATTTTCGAGGCGGCAACACACAAATTAAACCCACCACCTCCCCATCGCCACCATAATTTTGGACTATGAATTTAGCTTTTACTGGTTCAATGGCAGGAACTACCTGGGGGCGACACGCAGTTTCCGAAGTAAAAAAGTAAACAATTCAGGCGACTTATCTCGCAGTGATTATAACGTAAAGTTAGATATTAGTAATGTTTCGTTTTGTTTTTCTTAAACACTACGCCAAGCACCCTCTTGTTCTGGTGGGGCTTATTCCAACCGCCTGTTCAAGCAGTGGAAAAAACGGCGTGCTTTATGTAAGATTTTCTTAATTTGTAAAGGATAAATAGATTCACATGACTATTAATTATACGAAAGCACCTACTGGTTCCAGTGGGGTTTGTCTGCATGGCAAGTGTGCCAAGGAATTCCAACCTGTTATGCCAAGTTTGGCAAGTCTTTCTGTTAACAACCTTACCTTTTCCTGCCAAGTGTGGCAAGCCTTTGGCGAGTTTGTTCCTGTTTTTCTGCCAAGTGTGGCAAGTATCTCTTTGGCAAGTGTGCCAGAGTTTCTGCCAAGTGTGGCAAGTATGGCAAGTGTGCCAGGAAAATCTTACAGAATTTCTGCCAAGTGTGGCAATAGAAAGTGGCTTTGAAATCGGCAAAAACAAATAAACCTGCCGCTCGAAATCTTTGCCAAAAACCAAAACGTGGTGTCAGTGTGTGGTTTGTGCACATACAGTTGGAGAATAAAGAAGGAAACACTCTTTCGAAACGTTTGATTTCTTCGATTTTCTAAATGATAGTTTTTTGAAGGGGTCAAAGGTCTTTTAATGAAACTAAATTTTGAAAACATTGTCGATTAGAACATGTAATCCTCATTATTTTGATACTAAATTTACGAATATTTGGTGAGAATTTCCGGTTATTATGTATCTTTTTATTTATTTATAGTTTTTCATCCAAAAGCGCATTTAACGCCAATTACAGGTTGAAGGGATAATTAAGAAGAGAATGTAGAAATGTTCAGTTTTGGAGGTGGTAGGAAAACCCATGATAATTATTCGAGGGAAAACCCACGGAGTCAGGGAGGAGTTGAAAACCTTATCCACATTCTGGCCTAGGTGGGATTCGAACCCGGGTCGCAGATATGGAAGGTGAGGAAAGGGCCGCTACACCAACCTGACACCCCAATTAACCCGAAAGGGTGATTTTTAAACGAAAGTCTTCTATTTTTCTTGATATCTGCCCTGACCAGATGGACAAACTCTGGCGTGTGTTCATTGCTCATCAATATCTGGAAGCAGAGTAATTTTTACCAAAATAAGGAGACTTAAGGTCAAAAGGTGTGTTGGTCTAATTATGGAATGACCTGCTGCTGTTGGAAAACGTTGAGGCACACATCCCTTCAATTATTTTCTGTGGTTCTTTAATAGTGCACACTTTTTCTTTTGCTCGTTACATTGTGCCTAATTTTCAGTTTGTTTCCTTGACCATTTTTTCAAGCAAAATAACATAAGTCGCTGTTCTATTTTATGAAAAGCCTTTCGCTTACAATAAAGGTTATCCTGTGATCACTTGAGAAAAATCAAGCAGTTAAATATGTAAATGTAATTAACTTTCTAAAACACAGTTTTCTTGTATTTTGCTTCTCTTATATACAGAAAAACCAGATATCACATTCCATATCACTGAAAATGATTTGTTTGAGCTTTTCACAGGAAAGCAACTACCACAGAAGGTGAGGGATTAGTTCAGATCGTTTGGGTCGTTCCTGTGTGTGCACTAGCGACCAGTTGGAAAGTCAACAAGATCTGAGCTTTAAAAACCAAAAGTCAAAACCCCCAATAAAAAGAATCAGAAAATCAGATGTTTGTTTTAAAACAACTTGTCCGCTTTAAGCCAAGAACTGAATCATGGGGTCAAATCCAAAATAATCCACAGTGTATTTATGTTTGTTCAGGACTATTCCCTTGTTCTTTTGTTTAACAGCTCCTTCTTACAAGACGACTGCGTATTTGTGGCACTAAATCACTGCAGAACATGATTCACTATTTGATTCCTGACAAGCGGAGGAAGTCCAGGCTGTGAGGGAAATTTGAGTTATTTTATGTATCATGGATGGGTGAGGGCAGTTTGCAAGCGACTGTCGGGAGGAAGTCCCAAATACGAACAAGCGCTGCTGGGACGGCCTGCCAGTGAAAGAACTCTGCATTTAATATGCATCAGCAATGCCAGCTCTGGTTGGGGGGGGGTAGTTCGCGCCATGGTCGCACGTTTGCGAATGAAAGAGGGTCCGGCCGTGCTCAATGGTACACTTTCGTTTATCCTTGGTTATAATGTCCGGACTTCCTCAAAGCAATTGGACACTTTTATCTAGAAAAGAGAAAAGCACGTTAATATAATGATCGGCATTGAAACTGTTAGAGTATGTACCACCCAGTCGCTATTGTATTGGCAAGTTAAGTAGGGACCACGCTGAACGTCCTCAAGGATTTCGACCCAACTTCACCGCAGAATCGGTGCCATCAGACTCTCTGCATGCACTTTGAAAGATGCAGCACACCGTGGCGTAAATTAATTTTGTGCCGAGAAGAAAGGGAATGGGGGATTGTGGGAGTAGGGAGACGACTTCTCCGGCCATGGAAATTGAATATGGGGGAGGGGGTGCTCACATCATATGATACTAGGGAACGACGTTCATGATACAGAGGAACATGTAGGGCCTAATACCTTCTTGCCGAACCTTATCAGAAAGTGTATGGCCTGGTCCAATTTCCAAAGATGTAGCCTAGTTTGCGTAGGGGAGATATTAATTTTTTATAACGGGTAATACATGTACGTCTTAAAGGGCAAGAAATCATTATTTGAAACGACTTTTTAAATTTGTTTCCCCTTTTATAGTGCTGTTAAATACATACTGGTTGATGGGAAGTCTGAAAAATTCTTCCAATCCGCCATATTTTTTTCTCATCATGAAAACGTGCGTGTGGGGGGGGTTCAAAGGGAGGGATATATCCCCATAGATCCACACTCATGGTTGTACATAACAACTCTCTGTATATTTTGTAAGGGAACATGACCATTTTAGCTCCATCCCCCAGTTCACAATTTGTGCTCAGCTAGCAGCGTACACTGTGAGCTTGTAATGAGGGAAAAATAATAAGCATGGTTGGTCTAATAGGTCGTTTCCGAAATGGACTTCCAGAGCTATTTCCAATGAAGCGAAGATGTAGATCTAGCTCTAGATAACAGATTTTGATGCAGCCTTGACGCGACTAAGCGTCCACTCTCATAAGAAGACCAGCCAGACACATATGTATTCAGATTCATAAATACCTTCTCAGTTAGACAGTCAAAACGAGTTTAAATTCTTTTTATTTTCAAACACACCCTTCTGCTAACGGTGTGTGCTTCTGCGAGCCGGTGATTTATCAGCCGTTTGAGACTGGCCACGTGATCGGCTTCCGACCAATACGAATGGCTCAGAAACTGTCTTAGGTGTTTTTGAATTACATTTGATGATGTACAACGCCTATTCTATTTGATGACAGATTTGGTGCTTTAAAAACGTAATTAATGTTAAATTTATATATTAAGCTCAGGAAAATGATGAGAAAAATGGATGGCTTCACTAGCATAAGCCTTACCGTTGATTTCATTCCTTTAATTCAAATTGACACGTTGGTTTGTAAATAACAAAAGTTATATACTTGACAAGTTTATTGCTATAAGATGCAGAGGTGAAATTCAGGTATACAGTAAAACGCAATTGTGATTGAGATAAAATCAGTTAAATTCAAATAATGAAAACTACTTGTATCATAGTAAATAATCACAGGTAAAGCATACACATATGATATGCAATACAGAATGATTACAAGACTTTATGTGCCACTAAACCTTCGTATCAATTGTATATACAAGTGAGATATATAAGTAGCATTCAATCACACTGTGGAAATACGTGCTAAATGGTAAAGGTGCAGCGGCTAAAAGTGATGTAAACTTTAACAGACTTTGATTTTAAAACACACATTCGTGACTTCTGAAGTTTTCATTCGTACTCGATCGAGTATTACTTGTAGAGTTGAAATTTTCATGAAGTGGCACCCATGAAAACGTACGAAAATAGACATGTCGTCCAGGATTGTTCCTTCCTTTTTGGGATACAAAACGCCTTCCATATACAAAATGTTTATATTGGGAAAGATCATTTGAAAATAGATTATATTTTTGACACAGCCATACATTCAAAACATGCAGGTTTTGTGGTGACTGTAGAAGGAAGGAATTTTGGGAGTCAAATTTCGACCTCAAAAATCAAGCGGTTAGGACACTAGTAATATTCCAGCCACACATGGTTCCCCATAGGCCTATGTCGTGTGTGTGTTCGTCGTTTCGAGGTCTTTACTGAAAAGGAATTACTTCAAACCATCTGGTATAATTATTGTTTTATTTAGTGGTCCCATGGTCCCATTATGAATATTGTGCTTGTGGATATGAAAAAATGGGGACTGACATTTCCAAGTGGCACAAAATTATTCTTAATAGATTAATTATTCTGGAAAATTTATAAGAAAATCATTTCCAAAAGCTACATAAAAACTACGTAAAATCCATATACTTTAACTTCAAAACAGAAAGAGTCCAGAAAGAAATGTTAGGCAAGTTAACTACAAAAAAGAGTCTTTAGAAAGAAATGTTTTAAGCTGTAATTTTCAAATTAAAAATTCATTTATTTCTTAAAATTAAACTGCAAGTCTGCTCCACAGAGTATACAAGATCACCGTGCAGTTACGCTTGCAGGATAGAGCAAAACGCCCTCTGATTCTGTGTTTTAAATGTACAACTCATGAACTAATATCAAGTGTTTCAGTTGCTTGTGATACTGCCGACATGGTAATTAAAAGTAATTGCTTTGTGAGTTTGCAAACAACCTTTAACTTCAAAACTTCAGTTGATGGGACAAGAACAAAACAGTGCACATGACGTTACATGAAATAAAAATTTCATGCAGTCGGCCAATGCTGCCTGGCTACAGCCTGACACTTTGTTACTATTAAAATAAAAGATAGGAATTCTATTGTCCTTGGAAAAGTGTTTGGCCAAATAAGAACTCAACATACCTTGCGTTTTATGGGCAAAGCATCCCCCTTTAGATGGAAACGGTACGAAAGTGTTAGAGTGATGAGACCCACATGCAAGCGCTTAACGTATGTATATTCATATTTTAGTTGGTAACCAACACCAGAGCTGCGCTTATTGCACATAATATGGGAGAAAACTAGCTGTTAGTGGTGTGGACAGTACAGGGGAAATATGGGATTTTACTTTGGAAAGGCTTGTGGGTTCGGTGAAAAATTAATAGCGAGAGATACACTTTTTTCTTCAAAACTTTTGGATGTAATTTTCTTAAATATTTTTTGGACTGAAAACCACGGTTTAGTCATGATTTTCTTGAGAATTTATAGAAATTTCAAATTCGGACGGGGCGATATTTTCATGTTACGCTGGGGAGCGGGTTATGATTTTTTGACGGGGGTGGGCATTATGGGGGCCAGTTGTTATACGGAACACAATTTTTATTAGTTTCCTTGGGGCATTGGTTTGGGGGATTTTTTTTGGGGGGGGCGGGGAATCAAACGAAAGATTTCTTTTGTTCACCACTGTCCTAAACAACGCGGCACTTTTGGCGGCACTCGCCTTTGTTCGGGCGGTACGAGAGCCGCCAGAAGGAATTTCTGGGCTTGGTACAGGAACCGCAAACGCCCATTGTTTGATTCGGTGAGGGAAAGCCGCAGCGCTGTTCAACTGTATGCGCATAAATTGCGGAGGCCCTTTTCAAAATTGAATGGACTGGCTGATTGACAAGTTGCCTTCAAAAAAGCTTGCGCTAAATAGACAGATAACAATAGATTTGCACTCGGCCAGTGCACAAAAAAAATGCTCGTCTTAACCGAAATCTCGTAACATCTGAGCTCGTATTACGCATTTTTCCCTCATAGGAATGTGCACAATTCAGTCGGGACGGGCAAATTGCTCGTCTAAACCGGAGTCTCGTCTTACCCGAGCTCGCATTACCAGGAGTCAACCTGTTCCTATTTGTTTCCTCATTTTACATAGAAAGGCTGCTTAGGATGCTAAAAAGAATTCATTCAAGAGCCGCATTACTCGGACACTCTCAATAAAAGTGACACTTTATTGATTGACATAAACCATCGGTACTGATGGCTTGTGCACAAACTGGACTGAGGCAATAAGGAAACGGCGCGCATAGTTTGCGCACTAATAGAACTTGGCCAATAAGAGTTGCACAATCACCTTCGATCCCTGGCCCGCCGGGAGATTATGTGCTCTCTTATTGGTCACATCTGTCAGTACATGGACCATCATCGCCATTTTCTTATTGGCTCATTCCGGTTTGTGCACGAATCATTAGGAGCGATGGTTTGTGTACAATCAATAAAATGTCACTTTTATCAAGAGTGCTATGGTCAGAGTAATCTCTGGGCCCGAATCCGAGTCCGTCACAACGTGGACTCGTGCTCACATTGCCCTACGACACTTTAAGCAATTGACTTCAAGATTCAGATGGTAATTAAGTAAAATAGCCCACATCGTTAACAAACCTGAAATGCTTTCTGCAGACATAATTCCAGTCTGTGAATTACATTTCTTTGACTACAGCATTTAAATATAATAACACACTGACGAAATACACACGAACGTATACGGATGCAAAAGCATATACGTTTGATGCAGACTGTTGACGATGATTTTATGTTTCATAAACTTCTCCCGTCGTGAATGTAATAGTATAGTTTTTAATACACAACAAATAACAACTATCCTTATTATCACTTGTACTTTTTGCTGATCTCAAACAACATTTTTACTAGAAGGTTTTATTTTTCTTTTAATTACTCTACACCATGAGACTTATAATAATTGTGACCTATAATAATTAATGGTTACATTTGGAAAGAGGAAAATAATTCATTAACTATTTAAAGCAGTACAGAAAGCTAAAAGAACTTATTTATTTTCCTTCAACTTCAGCCGAAACAGAGGTGACTCCACAGTCAGCAAGTACTGTAGAGCTGACCACTTCCAACAGTGGGGTTTCCATCTTACAGTACCGTATATGAGTATTACAAGTTTTGGCAATCACGTATGTCAGAGCACTGATTTGATATTATATTCTTGTGAGTATTACAAGTGTTAGGTCGCCACACGCTTTTACGCACCGACTTATGATCGATTCTTTCCGTTACACCAGTGCCCCATGCAATATGACTAGCGCCTCTCCCCACTACAGCCCTCTTCCTTTACCCCTCCCCAGAACAAATGATAAATCTGTGTGCTTTTCTCAACACTTAACATGGGCCTTCGCAACGGGTCTGATTTCATCAGGCGTTCACATGTTAGTTTGTTCATAGAGAGTAGATATAATAGACGCTCCATTGGTAGCTTCAACGCCTGCTACCTCGCCCCCATTCATAGCATACCTGTTCCCAAACACAACGTTATCTTCAGTGCCCTGTTGGATAACGTCTTCTTTAACAAGATCATGCCTGGAAAGGTGTGCTACGATCCCTGTGCCAATTGCGTCGCCCTCAACGTTGATCATGGTTCGAATTCGGTCCCTGCATAATAAAAACGCAATCAGAATAATAGAGGTGCTGTAATTCCCGTGGAGAATAATATACATAGAAGCATAAGATGGCGGTGACCGACTATCCACAAAATATCGATGGAAATGTCTGATTCATTTAGCAAAGTAACCATATGATTACCAGTTATATTTAAGAGCGTGGGTTGGTATGTGCAGGCTATTTGGTCGGTGAAACATAACAAGACCCATTCTTTGGTCAGCGGTATATTTTAAGCATTAACATTGTAACTGTATCACATCATGCGTATGGGCCTCGAGCTGGAGCAAGAGAGTGCGCGATTTTCCTAGCAACGGAGGCTCCTTTGTAGGAAATTTATATAGCTGATTCAAGAACGACTACGAGCTACATGCGTTGCGTGCTCGTTGCTCCCACTTGAACAAAACGAACACTCCCGACTCATGGTCCTTTTCAACCAATGAGGGGATGCTTCTCCTTGCGGCGGATAGCGTGTCTCTTCTGTAATCCAGTATTGTTGACAATAAAATAACCTTGTACATAATGACTTATGTACCTAGCCCGGGGAGTTATACTTACAAAATAAAGTCCACAGCAAGAATAAGAGCTATGTCATCAGTTGGCAAGCCAACGGCGCTAAGAACAATTACCATGGTTACCAGCCCGGCCTGCGGGATACCAGCTGCACCAATACTTGCAAAAGTTGCCGTCAAACTGAAAGAAAATAATAACCAGAGTATATCTTACTCAATCAAGAAAGACTCCTTTTATTTACGTGTGGACCTCAGTTTTTATTGTGGTAAATAAAACTGAAAATTAGCAAGGGAGATTCCAGTTATGACACAAAACAAAACGGTTATCACTTTCCTCCCTGTTATGTATCTGAAAAAGGATGCATAATCCTGTGCTCTGGACAATTTAGTTTGTCAATTTTTTTACCAACAGCCTAAAAACTTTTTGAGAAATTTTAATCAAAACACCGTATATTATTAGAATGGAAGACAAATTTTGAGTCGGCTGGCATTCTTCTGAAACAAGTTTTGCCTCTAGAGAAGGACTACTTTGCCAACAATTAGGCCTTAGTATGGTCTCATAATATCAACTGAAGTTCAGTCACAAGTACCTCACGGTAATTATCTGTGCTACGTTGAGCGTCACGTTATTCATTTGAGCAATGAAGATGGCAGCCACTGCCTCGTACAAGGCGGTCCCATCCATGTTGATTGTCGCTCCCACTGGTAGCATAAAGCGAACCACCCGGCTATCTACATTGTTCTTCTCTTCTAAACATCGTGTTGTGACAGGAAGCGTTGCCGAACTGTTCAGAGACATTAATGAACACAAAACTTGTATTTATACAATATAACGGTTAGGTTATTTAATTCACCATCAATGCTCTTTTATGCACATTATAGTCAATACCAACGTTACTACTATAAAAAAGTAAACCCACACCTTGACTTAGCTCGTGGCTTAATCACCAGCTGCGGCTGCGAATAACACACACATCTACGGGAATTGCCTGCAGCTATTAGTCGGTAGCGTCCTGCTTTATTGTCAACCACATCAATGGGTGCGTTTGAATTAACTTCCCTGAATACACCAGTGTAACACCAAGGGAAGCCTCGAAATGAGGTTAATCGAACGCTGCAGTGTATTCGCCAAGGCTTTCTGGGAAAAAGGTCAAGCCCCGCCACGTTCCATCACGTCCATGCGCGAACAGTCCATCCGTGACGTCATTATACACTAGGTTAGCCTCAAGAGATCCGCTTTCCAGCCGGGGTAGTGGTGTGGCTGACACCAGGGCAGGCACGAGGACCACGTAATGGCTTAAACGAACGCTCTCGTGTAAGTTTGACTTACACGTGTAAGCTATTCAAAAGTACCCAAAATGGCCTCCAAGAATTTGTAACGCTTTGGCCAATCAAAACGCACGAAATCTGTCGACCCTTCCAAACGCGCACTGGGTCGACAAATTTCGTGTATTGTCATTAGTCTGGTTCCCTGCCCACAGATTCCCTGACGACCCTTGATAAAGAATCTTAGGTCAGGCATCACCCACGGATAAAAACAGATATGACGCAAGGGTCAGAGGTCACAAGTTGAAAGCCCGGATGTTTTCGAATTCATTCCCTCACGTGGTGGGTTCCAATTCAGCTGAATGTTGCCTATAGTAATGAGGCGAACTAGGAAAAAAATCTCAGAAAATTCAAAATCATACATAAACATTCTGAAATTCTTTTAGTTGATCAATTCTTGTACAGCAACATTCCTTCCGCGCACACACCCATCAACAAGAAAGCTGTTTGTAACTTTGTTGTTATATGTCAATGCATGATTGATGACAGTTTACGTTCAACAAGTCCACGTGCCCGACCGGGAATGACCGAACAGTACCATCCGGACATGCAGAATATAGACGGGACGACCTCGGAATATTTTGGCTATTTCCGGGAAAGTGGAGGAATTCCTCCAGTCCTGGTCACGTGAAAATGGGTGATACCGGACCCGTGATTCGCCGGGTAGACAGAATCATCTTGTCTGGTATCCAGACTATATTGTCATTGGCCAACGCGTTTCAAACTCTGGGAGGCGAACTATTGTGAAATGCCTGTACTAATTTCCAACGCAAGCTTCTCTCATAAATTACGGTAGATGCCACCTTTCACTTAAAAAAAATCAGCAGAAACAGAAACACTAATGTAGACCGTTATTTTTTACAGAGCAGCCAAATGTTCTCGAGGCAATTTCATAAATTCGTCGACCATGGATGTGTTTAGTATCGAAAATGCTGCCAGCAGAAACATAACCTGACTACGGAATGCAACAGGGCAAAATTATTCTTTTTGTTTGCCGGGATGATTCTGAGTTTAGCCCATCCAAAACGTGTTCCCTGTATAACCCATGCACCGTCACATGTCTTTTAATAGATATCACTTCGGTATAACGAGCATTTATTTCATATTTAGTCAAATTACGAAGTGCAGCCCTATTTATGTCAGCCTTTCCTCTCTTACCTCGAAGAAGTCCCCAAAGCTGTCACCAGAGCGTGAGACAATTTCATCAGATACTTGAAGGGGTTCTTGCGAGTAATGATCAGGTACAGGCTGGGTAGGACAATCAAGCCATGGACAGCAAGGCCCGCCAGGACGGTGGCAATGTACAAACCTAACTGGGCTAAAATACTGCCCCAGTCATTAACTTCAGCCATACTTCCGACGATCAGAAAGAAGATACCCAAAGGGGCGTACCTGATGGTATTGAGGAAGTCATAAGCTTCTTGTTATGGATTTTTGGACAAACTCTGAACGAGCCTATTCCAAGTAAATTAACCAGTAATGTGAATGAAAGCAAGCAAACAAATAAACAAACAAACAGGCATGCAAACACACAAGCGCAATAGCAATCCATCAAGCAAGCGAGCAAAGTATACATGAACATGCATATGAGGAGCTCGAAGAGCGTTGAAAGTCCATTTTATAAGTTCAGTTTTGTGTTGTGGCTGACAAATAACATAATAACACCATATGTCCAGGAGCAAGACGTTTGCTGCATTTACATGTATTCACTTAAGCCGAGCTCCAATTCTGCCTGGAAGCGTCTGATGTGATATGCTATCAGAAAAGTCAAGGGCCCAATCTAAAAACGACCGCCCAGAATATTATAATGTAGTAGCTGGGACTCTGATTAAACGTCTTAATTCTGAGTGTGAATTCTATAAATAAACGTATGTAAGGTGGCGTAAAAAGCGTCGTTTATGGCCAGTTTTGCTATTTTGTACCATATCATTACATGATAACGATACTTACCACATCAATGCTTTCACAAGTTTCATGACAACTGTGTTTGTAGCCGAGAAGAATGAAGTTAGAATCCTTCCTTCCTCCGTCTCACTTATGCGCCCGAGGCCAACGCCAAACACAGTACTAAAAACCACCAATCCCATAATGTTCATCTGAAACACATATGTGCCAACGTACGTCACCTTGGTCACAGACTCTTCCCCAATGATTTGTCTGCTGACCACGTAGTTGGTAGCCTCCTGCACGATGTTTTCAAGATCAGATGTCGTGGAGGTGATATCCCTCACCAGCGCGTTCAGCTCCATGATGTCAGTGGCTACCATGCTGTGTGGTGAATGGATAATGTTCGAGACCTCAGCCAGAATCATCGTGAGATTGGTGATTAAGACTTTTACATCCATCATGACGCCCTCGCCGTCCATCATTTCATTTTTTATGTCCGTATCCATGAGGAACATTATGTTCACCGTCAGCTGTGCTAGGTTGTTGGTAAGATGTCCTACGGCCAGTACCTGCTTAGCATCCACGTCATCCATGACAGTGGCGGTCAGGCTTAAAGCAGATACCGTTAGTTTGCTGGCCTGTCACAAAATTTAAAAAGTAGCCTGGCAATAAGTCATCTCAGATGAGTCATAATACTAGATATGATACTGGAAGGAATTCTCCCCTAGGTAGGCATATGAAGACATTGGATAGATATTTTATCGTCTGCAAGTGCGTGCTTATTGACCGAGGCAGAGTAATCAATGTGTTCAAAGATATTTCCGCTTAAAAAGCGGCACATTTTATGTGTCAATTTATGCAATGGGTGGACTCACTCGTACACTGATTTTATCTTACCTGCTTGTTTAATTCATGTGATGCTGACCCATGCGTTTTGAGTACATCCCAGAGTTTGTCGAGATTGGTATTAATTTTTTGGATTATCATTCCTCTCAGGCCTCCATCCACCAGATACAATGAGCCAGTCGTGGCCCTGATACTTTCTAGAAGAGACGTAGTAATTTCCTGGAGCATGGATTCTGAGGCATTCGTGCCGTCAAGGATCGTTAGTATCTTTAGCACCTTCTTCTGTGCATTGGTAGTCACGCTAATTACATTGGCAACACTCATCTGCAAGTGTGTGATGTTGTCGCCATGGAGATAATCTTCAGTGTCTAGTTGGTCTGTATAGAGGATGAGGTCCGTAAGGGTGGTGTTGAGGTTCGCCAAGTCGTTCTCCAGATCAGCAGTATCTAGTGGAGATGGAGTAATGGCTTTGACTTCTCCTACAAAGCTCTCTAAAGAATCGGCGCTACCGCCCATACTGCGTATAAACTCATTCATGTCCGTCACCACGACTGTCCCGTTTAGCCGCATGCCAGCCATTTCCATCGTCTTCGATCTCACAGCGGCCATGCTATCACTAACCATCACAAAAGACTGGTTTAGGGTTATTCCAGACATCAAGGTCAGCCCAAGCAGGTCAGATGAAGTCAGAGCTGAAACGGGGACGACTTCCTTTTCTGTGGCCGTTTTGTACTGTATTGTGGACGAGGAATTAGTAAGGAGGATTACTGTTACAAGCCAGCATTCAATTTTGATCTGGTACCATCGAGGTGGAAAAGTAATGAAGTTGACTGTGGAAAGAAATGGTCATCTTCAGGTTATTGCTTCATTGGCGTAATCCCTACCTATACTGAAGACTACAAGTTATAGAAAGACAAACGCTCCATTCTTTCCCTCAAGTTTTCGTCCTCCTGTAAAGTTTCATGCGTTTGTATCGGGTCGTAAAAACAATCCTCAATTCTAGCATCAACAACGGCACAAACAGTTCAGTGTGTTGGAATTCCTGTTTAAGACAACTGAATCTTCCAGAATGTGGATCGGTCAGGAGTGCTTTCGTGGCTGCCTATTGATGCAGTGATCTACAGAGATAAGCCTCCAGAGGTTTAGGGTTTAAAGCGGCATAGAGTGCGGAGTGGATAGGAATGTGTTTTTATATATTCATTCAAGTAAATTTTAAACTATCATGGTCGAGTTTACTGTGGCTGCTGGCGTAAGTTATGGTGTCATATCCACATACCGTTCGGAAGGCGGCTTCGACGATATTGGAGGGAAACATATTCCTTTAGAGAAAATCGAAAGAAAAGTGGAAGATATATTTATTATCATAGTGAACTAAATTAATGTTGAATGGATGGAAAGTGGCGACAGATCCATTCATTAGAACATCTGTAGAACACCTTGCCTGCAAATATTGTGATTCCGAAACAGTGACATACAGCGAGGGTTCAAAACCCGACCTATGTATGCCCTCATAGAAAATACAAAAGAACGAGGGAAAAACTGGAAAAGGAATATGACAAAATTTAAGGAAGAATTTGTGAAGAAGATCTGAAGAGGAAGCCACACTTAATTGTAAATGTAACATTAAATTCCCAGTAAGACGATCACAGAGGAAATTGAAAGGTAGCTGTATATGTAGCTGTCGAACAATTTGTTGATGATGTGCTATTGACTGGCGCAAGCATGTCTAGGCTTTGGGTCCAGAGTTCAAATTGGAACCTTTTTACTTAACACGGTTGTTGGTAAACAAGGTCATTGTTGCAACTGTGGTTAAAGTGATCGTGGTCAGTCTCATTACTCATTATGTTGTATGCATGAGGGCAATGAAACCTGTTTGTTCGTCCAATTTAAGTAATCTTTACTGTTTGTACCTATGTATTAAAGTATACACATCATCAATGCACTGTGAGATGATTAGATTGTAGGAATTATACATCATTTATCTATTCAATCAAGCCAACAGGTCCCTTCTCTACCTTTTCGACGAACTGTTAAGTGATGGTTCTGAGCTATTCATATGTCACAGATACCCACAAGCACAACTATTCAGAAGACTTGAATTGTTGTAATATAATTGAAAACACTTCCTGGACTATGCATTAAAACTGTATCGAATAAAAAGATCACTGAATCTGTGCAGAGTGTGTCAGAACACGGTGACACCAATTCTGTTTACACATAAGCCAATTTACATGTTTGTTACGATCAGCTTTTTCTGCAAACACGTTCTTTAATCATTGTGAACGCAACATGTGGTGTTTGTCACAAAACGGGCGCAATAGCTTACTTATGAAGTCAAACATCATTGATTTTTGTCTTTCTGTTAACCATTTCCAAAATAATTAACAGTTTATATTTTGCATAGCGTGAACTTTCCATTTTGCATAAGCAAGTCTTTCGCTTGGCAGGTAAATTATCTCGAGGATACCATACCGAGATCACAATATCTCCCCAAAGCACTTCATGAGAACGCCGTGCGCCCGGTATTAAAAATTACTGGACTTCAGCGGATGTTCTGCCGGGAAATGCGCTCTTAATGATGCTTTAAATGTCACGACAAGTAAATCACTTTTGCTTGAGAAAACAGATAAAATCAAATAAATCAGTGAAAGGTAATTCTGCGGAATGCTGTGTGCAGAATACTTCGTGTTGCAATCATGCTGTTTGCATCCTAATAATGGGAGACTTTGAGACGGTTGGTTGCGGCAAACATTCTGGTCCTTTTTACCCACTCGCTTGTCGCCCAGCGCCCGAGCAGCGCTAGGAAGAACTGGCTGGCTTTGCACTGTGATTGGCTACATTATACACGACTTGTGACCGCGAGGTTATCACTACCTGTTACCGAAGCGTATATAAATTTTTTTTGGTTCGCAACGCTTTGGCATGGGCAAAGTGTCGGATATACTTAAAAACAATTTGTTGGTATAATTCAGTGATGTAGGTCTCGAGACCTGGTCTCAGTCTCGAGACCTTTTTTTTTTTGCGGTCTCGGTCTCGCCCTCTCAAAATCTCGGTCTTGGGAGGGCCGGTCTCGGTCTCAAAAGGGCCGGCCTCAGTCTTGGTCTCGGTCTCGGATGCCATAGTCTCGGGTCTCCCCCTCGAGACCAGTCGAGACCATAACAAAATGCGCATCTAGCTACCATGCATGCGCGTGGTTGCGAAAGGCAAAATTACCTCCGCTCGAGTAAAATCTTCAACCACTGATATAAAAAAACACACTAAAGTTCAGATTTTTTGCAATAAACAATGAAATTGATGCTGGAATAAAGACTAGTCAAGGCAGCATGATGCAACCTTGTCCCAAGTTGTTACTTTATTTCCAATCCAGAGTAGCCATGCTGCTTGACACCATGGAGATCAAAGATTGTATAGCGCCGCTGCGCGGCGCTATACAATCTTTGATGGAGATGAGGTTGTGGGTACCGGAATTCGCACACTAGACTGGTTCCCGTTCCTTACGTAGTCTCCTGCTGAACTAGGGCCGGGACGAGAACTACTCAGTGTGTTTATGCTCGCTATGAATTGTGTGCACGTGTGCAAGTGCTTTCATTCCGTCTTGTATGTGGTACATGCTGTTTTAGTGCATGTAGTTTCGTTACAGTACATGTTGCGACATTGTCAGCTTCTGAAACCTCCAATCAGAAAAGCATCAAGGCCCTACGATGTCAAATAAATCGGCCGTAGTGCTGTTTGGTTATAAGAACCACAGAGAATTGTTGGGAGCGACAAAGGGGGACGCAAACATTGTGGAGAATGCAAGTTTTGCTCTATGACCATCTCAGGAACATGTGGGACAACCTCTGCGTTCACACGCCACCTGAAACGAGTTCACAAGCAAAAGTAGGTTCTGAAAAATGCGGGAAGTATTCCATATATGTAACTCACTAACTTTCGTCTCTAATGACTAATCAGCCTCCTAAAATCAATTACGCATAAAAAAAGTTCATTTTAGCATTGAGAAAAATAGAATCATTTTGTTTGTGTGTGTGTTTATGCTAATGTTTTCATTTTATTTCTTTTGTACTTAACTGTCCTGCCATATGTTTGTCCTTATTTACCTTTTGGTAAAAACTAAACATTGTTTATGGTTGGTCTCGGTCTCGGATGTCGTGGTCTCGGTCTCAGTCTCGATCTGCAGAAGTCTCAGTCTCGAAGTCCTGGTCTTGGTCTTGAAGGAGTAGGTTTCGGTCTTGGTCTCGGTCCGTTGTATACCTTGGTCTCGGTCTTGGTCATCAAGGTCTCGAATACACTACAGTCACAGTGTGGTAACTTACCTTCTCACTAAGTATCACTGATTTCTTTACTTTTGGCGACGTATTTCAAATCATTGGTTAGCTTGATCAATTTTGGATGACCGGAGAAAGTTTTGTGAGAATATTTTCAGGAATGAGGAAGAAAAAAACCTCTCGAATTCATCACCGCCGCTTGTGTAACGCATTAAACGAGCTCACCTGGCGGAATTTATCCACTATGCTCTGCAAGCTTTGACCTCGATCGTGTGACGTATTTCCTTCACTGAAATCTGTGCAAGGCCATCAGCCATTCCCGGCCCAGCACTCTGTTCGGGGGCGGGGCTATGAGCGAATTTTACCCACAGATATATAAACGCACAGACCGCCAGATTGCATTCTTAATTAAGTCAGCATTTCTTGATCTACGTGGCGCCCGACTAAAATAAAAACTACGGGTAAATTCACGAACAGTAGAAGAGTTCCAGCCATAAAATTCTATGAAGCCATTTTTTTTTCGATTGGAAAAAAATTATCTATTTACTTGATTCAAAACAATGTTGTTGCAACATTTAAAAAGAAGAGCAGTACCGAAAGGCAAAGAAGTGAACGTATTTCAGGAGCCCATGTAAACTGATGCAGGCAATGTAAGTGCGTGGAACGTAATGCACACTGAACACAATGCCATCCATCGTTTCGCTCAGTGTTTGCCCATACCTTTCAAAATCACGGTTATTATAAAATACAGCATGGTTTGAGGGAAAGTAGCGGAGGCAGATAGTCAAGCTGACCTACACCTCGGGACCAGTAATTCCCATTATTTTCCCGAAATAAACAATGCTGTATTTGTTTTACTACACCTCATAAAAAATCTCACGTTACTTGTATTCACAGGCGCCTTTGTTGTTTCTCAGCTGCTACATTTTCCATGTAGTGATAGTCGAGTGCAGATGTTTATAGAATCAGGGCCTAAATAGTCTGGTGCTGACATAGGTTTTGGGTCTTTACTGTAATAGTTAGGCCTATTAGGATACAACTCCAGACTGGTTCCGTAAAGATTACATGACACTGACTACATATTTACGCGGCAGGCTCCAGAGGGATTTTTTTTATTCTACCAGAAAAAACTACCGCACGGCAGCGAGGTGGATATACTCACTGCTATGGTGTCACCTGGTCGCGTATCATTTCTCCTTCCCTGACCCGAGGTGGAATTAGCCAATGACGCGCAACAACTTGCTCATGAATATTTATGAGGTGTAGTAAACTGCAATTCCACATCCAGATTAAAAGCCACTACACTCGTGTACAGGCGATACGCGCGTGTTCCACGCCTCTTTGACCAATCGGGTGTCTTGATTTTCCAAATGCACGCTCGCGTCAAGCTGAAGAATGTGTGTGTAACTGCAGTGCTACCGCAGTTATGGTGTCTAATCGTCTATACGCCCAAGATTAGTGGTCTATGCGTTTATATGTCTGTTTTTACCATGTTAGAGAATAACGGCGTGCGTTGCTCTGAGTCTTTCGAGCACGGTTCAGGGCACACACATTGCTGTGAAAAGGGACCAATATAGATCCACAGACTTATATTTATATTTGTTACTCTAATTGAATATCGAAATGTAACTCTAATAGATTCTCTCACTGAACGCCATCTTTGTAAGAAAATTATAACTGCGAATACAACGTCAACAGGTGTGTGTGCGCGTGGTGTGTACAAGTCATGTTCAATACTCGCGCGCTTGTTATCTTTATCGGATTCAAGGCGTACAATCAGTCAACTAATTTCTCAAATCCAGTGGCGTATCCAACTAAGAGGAGGGGGAATATGCCCTTCCCCCAAACATGTTCCAGTTTTGCATCCTGGAGACGGTAATACCGATGGGTAAAAAAAAACGTTTATCGAAAAAACCGTTTGTCCCCAAGAGCGTTGATGACCCGGATATGCAACTGCTCAAAAGGGTGATCCAGGAGATAACTATTATAACGATTCACTTAGCGTTTCCTTCTCTTTTCGTTGTCCAGATTTGAAAGGGTTTGGTTTATTGCCACGACAAAGAAAGATTAAGGTCCAGTGTATCACAAATATAAAACAGAAGTACCCGCTTGGGTTTCAGGATAAATATTGAATTAGACTGAAGTCCACAAGGGGGCTTACCTTTGCGCCGTGAATGACTTTATGGCATTCCATTTTCACTGTGCCCGTGTTTGAATTGCTATTTGTATGGATATTGACGAATTTACATTTCAGTTGGAGGAGGCAGTAACATTGCCAACATACTGATAAGATAATGGGATGAAAAGCGCGAACACTTGGCGTTCAATAGAATGGATATCTGAGTCACGTAGGATTCGACATATTTTGATCTCATTGCAACATGTTTTTGCGGGACGCCCATACATTTTCCTGCTGAAGTGTTACAGCCGTCGATTAATTCATGAATTTATAAACTCCTAATTTGTTTCAATTTTGATTTTAGATTTGGGTTTAAATTTTGGACTGGCCTATACTGAGTCACAGTTTTGTGACATTCTGATTCATAATATTTACGACATAGTGTGGATTTACCGCTATCATTGATACCCCCAAAAATGGCTAAACAAGCAGCGCAATGTTATCTCTTAAAATGAAAACCTGAAGGGTCATGGTTTTAAGCAAAGGTTTGCTTGGGAATTCTTTACTTTTAAAATTTGTTGTGCTTCTGAGGCGATTTTTTCTGTTTTGTTATTTTTATGGGTTTGTTTTGTTTTGGTTCATTTTGATTTTAATTAGGAGGGTGACGCAGAATGTATTTTGGGGCACAAGAAGTATCTGCGTTTCTTAGAAAAACATCATTAGTTTGTCAACAATATGACTAAAATTCCTTTTTATCGGTTAAATTCCGTTATTCAGTTTATAGTTTTTAAATTCATAACCGGGAGGGGATTGACCCCGAGATGTTTTTATTTTTTGTTATTGTCCTGTTTGACTACTGGGGTGTTTGTTCATTTGTCTGTGTCATTTTGTTTTGTTTAGAAATTGGAAACGCGAGTCTGTTCGAAACGGCACTAAAACCTGTCTTTGGGGATTCCTTCACGGGTAGAAGGAATTTGGAAGTCTCTTCCTCCCCGACCAAAGACCTACTGCATTCTGGATATACCAGATAACAATAGCAGAGCACTTTGATAATTCTGTTTTCAACCATTTTAAGCGGAAAAACGCTGGGCGTTAATCTATCGGCAGTTTTTAATTTTGTGTATGTGTGAAGGCATTTTACACCTATACTGTCTGTTATCAACTCGAATATCCCAATAACTTTAAGGCTCAATTCATGTCTGCTATGTGTTTTTTCGCCTGGTTATCCCTTTAATATTGGGTTTAACTCGTTTTTAAAAACTGTGTAACAATGATAATAGGCACATTGCCTAATTAACGATGTACGATAAAAGATAATGTTTTGGGTGACAATTAGTGCAATTTATGCAAATACAAAAATCCGTCCCTAGCATCATTCACAAATGCAAGGCAGTAGCCTAAATAGTGCACACGAAATTTTTTCCCAGCAAGACCTATAAAAATAAGCTTTGGTTGCAATGTTATGGACGAAAATACAAAAAGCTTATCTAAAAATGCATATGACCTTGCAAAAGAATTTGCTTTTGTTCCTTTCCTCTCTATATGCGAGCCATTAAAGCACATAATTCGTCCGATCTTCATTCATCAAAAACAGTTTCGTCTGGGATATTTCAAGTCTCTTTATCTCCTTTAAACTTCTCTAACAATCCGTTATGTTTCATATAAGAAAGGTAGAAAACACGTTTCATTACCTTTCAAATGCATTATTTCTTTTCCAGATACAACCATGAAGCATTGGAGCGCATGTCTATTAATTGCCCTTTTTCTCTTCAAAGACCGTTTTCCTAGTCCCATTCAGTGTGTTTTATTTTGTATTATCCGCAGTCTGCTAAAAAATGACAGGTTACAAATTTTAAAGATTTCCCATACGCATGTTTGAATAAGAGAAATGTACTCATGATGAAGGCCTAATTCAACCCATACAAAGAATTAAATCTAAAGAATAAAAAAGCACTGAGAAATGCTCGGTACGGCTTTTAATGAATGTAGGCTATACTTACAAAATCAGATCTAAGATGGCGTAGACGATGTTGACTTCTTCCTTCTTCTTATTTGGATCCACTTCGTTGTTAGACCTCCCCCCTGGATTGATAACAAGCACAAGGAAGATACCGAGTGCCACAGCTAGCAGTGTGGTCGCCATGTAGTAGATGACAGCACGGTAGCCTAGCTTCCCTGACATAGTAGAGTCAAGGGCAGCCAGTGAGGCGATCAAGCTGGACACGATCAATGGAATGATCATCATCTTCAGCATATTCATAAAGAGTTTACCCGGGAAGCTAAGGTAGTCGATGTGTTCGTCCATCAACTCCACGTTCACGCTCAGAACATAACCAACCACAAACCCAAGAACGACGGATAGGATTAACAGGCACAGGAGGACATTCTCGGCATTGAGATGGACTCGCCAACCACGACTAGCCTTTGTCTCACTCTGTCTGTCTTCGGCGTCCATGCCCAGGGAGTACTCTTGATTAATGCTTCTTTTCTTGGGCTGTAGCCCGTTCATCTGAACACCGTCACCGTCCATTGCGTCAAAAGATATATCTTCAAAGTCTCGGAGCTGTAGTTGCGCTACGCCGAGTGGCAAGTCACGTGTACAGCTTATATAAAAGCAAAATGACCAACTTCTATCTGTCCTTGAAATCGTTGAGAATTAAGACCAATTGAAATTTTACACTCTTTTGTTCATGACAATGTTTTTAAACCAGTTATAGCGAATATCATAATCATAAACATCAAGAGGAAATTGGAATGAACTCAGTTAATCCCCTCACCACGATGACGAGTCAATTCAGTCAGCGTCTGTTCACGTTAGCGAGCTCGCCTCTCTCTAAACCGTTGCTAGGCAGGCCTTCGTATGCAAATATTCGGTATACGTCATGCATCACAAACGGAGAAAACACCTGCTTGGCAATGACGTTAACAAGAAATCGGTGACTAACTTAAATGGACAAATGTTATGATTCCAACAGGGAATCACATATTTCGTCCTCGATTTTGCTTGACCTAGCGCCCTTGCATGAAGCTAGATTTGATTAGTTTCTTCAGGCAGTATGACTTAACCGCTGGCTTGTAAAAGCTACAGTGGGCACGTTCCATCCACTGTATGCAAACAAAATTGAAGCCCATGGGTGTCCTTTTGTCTCTATCTTGTGATTTTAAGAAGTTTACATGGACGCGCAAATCGGAACCCAAGGTGTGCAGAAATAATTACAAGTTCTAACATTTTTAATGAAAATAAAATTGTTGAACATTATTTTCGCTACCCAAGGATTCAAAAAGCGGTTACTTTCAGAAGTCAACTTTCAGGCTATATTAAAATGGACTTGGTGACCTCTTGTGGTCATTCCCAAAAAGCACGAAAATTGGATCCTACCATCAGATCAACCAAACAACTCTTATCGCGCAGTGAAACATTTCTCATCGCACAAACTACTATAACCAGTGAAGATAACTCTTACCATGAAGAGTAATTGGGCCTTAATAGAACACCATTGGATGGTGTTGACTCCTTTCCTTCAATTTTACAGAGGGTCGGGTGGCCGGACAAGAAGCACCGTATACCGTCCACTTTTCAGCAAGGATCAGAGTACCCCATTTCACATGTAATGATACAGTGTTAAAACTCTTTTTCGAGCTCGAAATCAAGTCCAAAAATCGACTCAGAGTCCTTCAACGACGAAACATACTCGTACATTAAGAAAATGTTGGTAATATAATGAATTAACATGCATTAGTTACATACAGTACAGAAAATAAGTATTATTTAATGATCTGCAGTAATAATTATTATTTTCAAGTGTTTATAAACTTCAAATTTTCAAACGCTTTACAAGGCATCAAAACTACACCATTTTCAATCTATGATCTTTTAAAATACATTTTTATTTTATTAACATTTCCCAAATAAAAGCGCAAGTCTGTTCCAATTACGTAAGAATATGGGCCAATAGCAGCCTGTGGACAAATCGCCCATCACTGGCTATATTTTGAATGTTGAACTCATGAACTTACGTCAAGTCTGTGAAGGACTACTAACTGCCGAAATGTTATAAACACTTTCTGAGTTCGTAAACAATAATTTTGGACATAAGTGTGAAACTTGAATTGCTGTAGCAAAATGTAAAATGGTGTAAACTGTTGTAGCACAAGAATTTCACACCGGCACAGGTTGTCTATGTACGACAGCATGACATACATGTACATGTACACTGTACGTACTACATGCAATCGAAGACTTGTTTCCATCTTTTTGCATTAAGGCATTACATATAGGTGCAAAATATCATAACTTTTTTATTTACCACAAGGGTTAAGTATAACACGGAGTTATTGTTATTGTACTATTTTCTGTTGCAATGACAGGATGCTGAGGATAACAAAACAGTCGTGTTGGACTTCAACTGGGCTGAGTCCAGCTTACAGTCATAATACCACGAGGGTATAGGATACTCAAGTGCTATCAATGTAATCTTTTCTTGCCTTTTTCCCAACATAAAGAACTCATCTACTTTCTGACGGAGTAGAGAGTATTATTAGGGACAGGTAGGTGTCCACGTGGCTACTACCGAATCGGTCAATTTCTGCAGGTCATCATAATTCACCGCTTAGCCGTTGTAATACCAAATCCATACGCGTCTTTTGATTCATTGCAAAGTCCCATGTACGGTATATGGCATATAATATATTATGTACTTTAAAATGAAATGAAAAAAAAAGATCTTGATGTTTTCCATTTCTTTTCAGCTGAATACGTATAGTTTTATTCGATTCCATGAATTTCTTTCCACCATATGCCCATTACATATTAATGGTACGCAAATAAAGGCTCGGTGCTCAACAACTAGAACTGTTTGTTTTCTATCTTACGAACTGTTGACCCACTCGATCGGTAAAGCTTGAACGCAAGGCCCAATTTCACAGCGAGGCTTACCGCTTACCGTACCAGAAAATTCTGTGCTTACGGCGAACGTATTTCACGCGTTAGCGAGGAATTTGGCTTGTGTGCATTCGTACATTCCGTAACTAAGGATTCTGAGCTTAGGATTAGCGCAGTATTTTTCAGCAAGAGCGGTTAGCGCAGAATGGAGATCGTAAGCGCAGAATTCTGAGGTTGGCAGCTCCATGAAATTGGGCCCCGCTGTTTACTGGACTTCGGACCATCCACTAAAGCGAGGGATGCGTGTAGAATTCCTACCCGAAATGCAAGCCAGCTTGCCCACAATATCGAATTTCTCTCTCCTATGCATACACTGAGTTTCAATTATTTCACGCTGCTTTTGTTTTACCCAATTTATTGCAATGAAATCCTCAAGGACGAATTCCATTGTAATTTCTGCTTGAAAATCTTTGCCTCGTTCTTGTGACTATGTCTATATGAATTTTTGTTCTTGCCCCGAAGTTTGTTTACATAAATGACGAAGTTCATCGTTCACGACCACGAACCTAGCAAGTTTTAAACGAACAGGAATATATATCGGTATACAAAACAGTGGGGTGACCTTTTAAAAGCCTGGTTTCCATATGCTTGTAATGACTGTCGACGATACGCAAGGCATCAAGATACAAACTGTCGTGGGAAAGACGTCACCCCCCCCCAAAAAAAAAGAAATTAAAGAAAATGGGGTCCGAAACTCAGAAAAATTCGCACGCAATGCCTATTTGAGTGGGAATACCACCTCTTGAAACCAATCTGATACTCCGGTTTGATCTATTTTATTTAGTGTGTTATCAATTGGGCTGTACTATGTTAAAACATGTTAGTAGTACTAAGGAGACAATGGGCAAAATGAGTGGTACTATCCGCTCCGAGCAGGAACAAAAGAGGGCGTGTTTTGAAATTGACAGTCCTTTGGTACTCATGCACCGCATAGTCGGCAGAGTCAAACACAATCCAACTTTCCCGACTTTCTACGCGTCGATGTTTATGTTTGTGCAATTTAAATACAAAACCTTTAGCGAAACTACAAAATTATGAGGGGGGGGATCTTTTTGTGTACAGAAGTAATCGAACCAGTCAGGCTACTGAATGCCTTATGCGTTAATTTTCCTCAAAATTAAGTACATGTCATTCTAGCGGTTTTACTTGCACAATAAAGTTAAGGAAGTCGATATTCACACCATACAAATATAACCAATGCACAATATGGATTACCATCAGTTCAATCAATTCTTTAAGTCAGGAAGAAAAAAATAGGCTCTTGCTTAACTCCTACATAAATTTAAATTTGCATACTGGCACATCTATTATATACTGAAAGTTCATAAAATTCAAGTACAGAAAAAAAAGTGACATGAGTTTAGTTTGGAATGGAACAATATACAATAATAAGACACACATTAACTATACACAATTTACCATGTGTGAATTTCATTTTAACTGTTGCAGTAAAAACCTGAAACCTGCCTTTCCTCTGGCCTCTGCCATTTTCGGACTCTTCCATCTTGTCAGCAATTCTCTTGAAGATTTTAATTTTGACTGGTAGTGTTCTACCAGTGATTTCTAGGGGTGAACTCTGTGTAGTTTAGTTTGGCCAAAGAAGTCATACGACAATCTGTTGGGCGGCATGCGTATTCTATGTGGAAGTTTTGGGAGATGGTAATCAGTTGAGGTTTCGCTAGACTGGTGTGAGGAGGATGGCAGCAACGATGATGCCGATGATGATGGTGATAACGATGAAGATGGTGTTGGTGATATAGATCCACATTGGGATCAAGATGAAGATCGAGATGGAGACACTGTAGAGTTAGACGGAGAGTAGTCCCATAAAACATTTGGGTGCATCTGTTTAGGGCTTTTCTCTTTCATCTTCACTGAGCAGGAGTTTGTGAGTTTTGGAACGAATGCCACGAAAATGGCTTCATCTTCATTTGCCCCATCACTCATTTGTTGACTTTCCGGACACGTTGTTTCATTTTCTGTCTCTGTTTCTGTCGAGTAGTTAGGCCTACATATGTCTCTTCTTCTGCTTTTGGTTTCCTTCCTCTTGGGACTCCTCTATTCTTTCAAGTGTTTTCTTTTGGTTGTCCTCAACGGAAAAAAAAACATGCATGGAGTCAGTAAATTTCTGTGGTGTTCTTTCCTTGCCAGTTTCCTGATTGGCAACTACGTAGACTGGCAAGTTTCGATGCTTCGAGAAGACAATATAATGTTGTGATTTTCATCGGTCAGCTAATTTCTGTGTGCCTATGTATGCTGCATCACCTGCATTGAGAGGAGCGTTGTAGGATCCGCGATTATACAGCCGCTTCTGTTTAGCTTGCGCCTTCTCAGCGATGTTCTGTGCTGCTCTGTATGAGGATCTGAGATATTCTCGCAGATTTTCAACAAAGTTTTCGTGCAATAGAGAATCTTTGTGGTTGTCCGGGGCAAACCCAAACATAAGGTTGATTGGTAAATCCGGATGGCGCCCGAACATCAAGTAGAAGGGGGCGTGACTGATCGTCTCATGACGGGTGCAGTTGTACGCATGAGTAATCCAGTCTTTATAATATACAAATATTGACTGCTTCGAATGGTATAGACAGGCCTCGGGAAACTAGAATGCTCCATGGATCACCGCGGGAGGCTAGTTTTACTGTACCACTCGAAGCAATTAATATTTGTTTTATAACACCTCCTCACAGATTCTGCACAATTTAAGCAAAAAATCAACAATAAAACACCACACTTGAATTTACATTCAACAAATGTAGCTCGAAAATTCCAAGCAGAACACACACACTTTCAATCCTTTTAAAGTACCAGTATTTCATCAATACTTTAGGAAGTTTCAGCAAATTGAATTCAAGAAAAATTGTGGGAAATATGCAAGAGTTGGAAGATTAAACTGAACGTTCGTGCCTTCGAATTTTCCATCTGTCCAACTTAAATGTAATATTCAAATCTTATTTGAAGCAAATTGAAAAGACACAACTCTTCAGTTTTCTCTGAAATGACTTAAATGACTGCAAAATAACAGGGCTCTTAGTTGTAGAAATTAACGCTGCATCCATGAAACTGGTGATGAGGTATTAAAATTGCCTCCCAGTGGGTGAACTTGTAAATTAGCCATGTCTCTCAAAATAAGGGATTCTCCAGATGCTGTCAACAATGGGGAAGATTGGCCCTGTTTTGGGCTGGGTATGAGTGTTGGGTTCTCCGATTCAGCAAAGTTCAAAGCAGCAGGTAAAACAACACTCATATTACGTTTCTTGTTTTCACTGGTGTGGTTGTAATTCTTGATTCTCGTTACTTTCTGAGTGGCCTAAAACAGTCATGATGTCCCAGGATTCGAAGCAAGCATTGTCAAGATTCGTGTCGCTTGTAGCTCTGAAGCAAATGGTTAGTATACACTTTGCCACATTTTGCTTCCATGAAAATAATCTCAAGTTTGTTGGACAGAGTGTTTTTTCCAAGTGGTGCATTACAATACCATGTGTCTGAGCTGGTGCAAAGTTGTCTTTCAGTCTTTGCCGAAGAGATTCACATTTGGGATGCAGCTTCTGTGTGTACAGAAGAAATGTGTTCACAGGACAGCGGGGGTTCCCAGGCACTTCATGCATCTTCTTTGCTTTTGTCGTTATTTTCCCTGTTAGTTTTCGTCAGGTGATCATGTTTTGTAATGTACCGCAACCCGTTGGAATCGGTATGTATTTTGAAGTACGTCTTTTTCATGTCTTTTACATTTTCCCTGCCTCGATTGCAGAAATAAATCATAATGTCTATACACACCTTGTTCTGAAGACTAGCTGGTGCAGCAATATTCGAGACATGTGAAGCATTTTTTTGTCCATGTCCTCTG